ATAGTCATAAACGTTCTTCGGATATGTGTGTATCCATCTTTGTAACCTGAGACGACATCCTAAACCCAAAGACCCCTAAACCCTAGACCCTAAACCCTCGACCCTAAACCCTAGACCCTAAACCCAAAATCCTAAACCCTAAACCCTAGACCCTAAACCCTAAATCCTAAACTCTAAATCCTAAACCCTAAACCCTAAACCCTAAACCCTAAACCCTACGACACCTAGACGACCCTGATTCCAGCATCTCCGGCTGTCCGGCTCCTAGGGTTTAACGGTTTAGGGTTTAAGGCTTTTGGGCTTAGGGATTGAGGGATTCAAACCAAGGTTTTGGGGTTTAGGGGTTCAGGGCTTTAGGGTTTATATAGAGTTTAGGGTTTAAGGCTTTTGGGCTTTAGGGTTTAAGGGTTTTGGGTTTAGGGTTTAAGGGTTTAGGGTTTAAGGTTTAGGGTTTAGGGTTTAAGGGTTTAGGGATTTAAGGTTTAAGGGGGGGTTTAGGGGTTCAGGGCTTTAGGGTTTAGAGTTTAGGGGTTTAGGGTTTTGCTGCTCCTCGGATCGCTTCGGTTTCACCAGTACGACAGGTCCACGCGATGCTGCGCGACCTGAAGCGAAGCCACTCTGGGAATGCGGTCTGCCAGGCCACATGGGTTCAGGGTTTAGGGTTTAGGGTTTTAGGGCTTTGGTCTGCCAGGCCACATTGACGGTGGTGATGGCGATGGAAACGGCTGTGAAGGTGGTGACGATGACATTGATTGTTTTGGCAAAGATGGCAATGGTGGTCATCATCACGCTCATGACTGATGATGCCTTGGGTCTTGAACACGAGGACGGAAGCACTTCAAGGTCACGATGCGGATCGTGGTCGCGATTAGTCTCATACTCAAGCCTTGCTGATGAAGCATGTTGACGATCTGGCGCTTCTAATGCTAACAGTCATGATGATGCCTGGTGGTGGCTGAAGAAGAAGACGAATCACAATAGTAATAACAATATGATGATGATGATGATGATGATGGTGATGATGATGATGATGATGATGATGATGATGATGCCACGGACGATGACGATGATGGCGATGATCATCGTTATCATCATCACCACCATGATGATGATGATCATCATCATGATCACTATTGTCATGAAACTACAGTCGGCATTATTGTGGTTACATTCTTGAGTAGCTTACCCTCGCTACAGCTTGTTCAGGTTTACGGTCAAACCTGAGTAGCAGTCTCGTTGTTGCTGCGAAGCACGAGGATCAGACAGTGTCTTAAGTTGACATTGCTCGCTAGGCGCAAGACATGGATCTGCTGCGCTGCTCGGAAGATGACGGTGCCGGCCAGCTCCGCGGCATGAAATTCCGGAACGACTTGCTGCCAACGGTGCAGCTCGGCAAAGCCGCGAAGCATTCGCAGGCCAACTGGATGAATGACCTCAAACGAGATGTCGCCAGCCTACGAGAAGTGCTGCGTCCCCTGAAGACAACGCGCCTGCACGCTCCGGGTTTCCCTTCAGCACGCAAGATCAGGCTACCCAAACGCAAGGACGAAGAAGGACCGGTCACGAAGCCAAAGGGTCTAAGTACTTATATGGTAGGTACTTTGGGGGCCCAAACAATATCTACTATATGGGTACTTAGACCCTTTGGGGAATCCGGAGCATGCAGACACCGTGCGACGTTAGATGACGCACAACGAGCTGGAAGGATTGCTCAGTCTAAGAGGGGCCATCGTATAGGGTTCAGGGTTCAGGGTTTAGGGTTTAGGGTTTAGGGTTTAGGGTTTAGGGTTTAGGCTTAGGCTTTAGGCTTCAGGCTTTAGGCTTTAGGGTTTAGGGTTTAGGGTTTAGGGTTTAGGGTGCTGCAGGCATGGGAGTAAAATGAATGGTCTCACGAATACTCCGAAGCAAGAAGCGACCAGAGGCGAAAAGATAAACCGGCAAGGACTTGTATAGAACCCCTCATAAGACCCAAGGCACGTAAAGCCCTACACCCTATACCCCGTACCTGAAGGGTCCACATATCCAAAAATCTGAGGCGCTCCCAAATGCTGACCTACATTACATAACTACTTTCCTAAGCCACAGTCCCTAACTATTATGCCATAAACCCCAGTTCCTAGACCCTATAAGCCCTATAAGCCCTAAGTGCTAAAATCTCTCTCTCTCTCTCTCTATATATATATATATACATACATGTAATCTTTATGTACAACCCTAAACCCCGAAACCCTAAACCCTAAAACCGATATTGTAGTAGGACCTTCGAAGCCAGAGACTCCAAAACCCCTTAATCAAGGAATATATCGTAAATCATATTAGGATCCCTAATACGATTTAAGGTATATTCCTTAGTCCAGGGGTTTTGGAGTCTCTGGGTAGACCCTAAACCCTAAACCCTCGACCCTAAACCCTATGAATCCTAGACCCTAGACCCTAAACCCTAAACCCTTAACCCTAAACCCTAGACCCTAAACCCTATGAATCCTAGACCCTAAACCCTTAACCCTAAACCCAGACCCTGAGCCCTATACGTTCGAAGCTTCTCCGAAGGTCACAAAGCTTTGGCCCGACCACCGATCTTTGGACGCTCAGCGGCTGCAGGACACGGCAAGCGCCAACACTCCAACTTACCGGCTTAAGGTTTAGGGTGCAAGGTTTAGGGTGCAGGGTTTAGGGTTTAGGGTATAGGGTTCTTGGTTTAGGGTATAAGGGCTCAGGGTTCAGGGTTTAAGGGTTTAAGGTTTAGGGTTCAGGGGTTTGGGTTTAGGGGACCGAGATACTTAGACTGTTGTCATCGGGGCTTCACGTCTCTATGGGCTTTACAAAAGGTTCCAAGCCTCAAACACTCAAGCCAAAGCCAAGCCCCAATCTCGTTACACCTAACCATTAGGGTTTAGGGGTTTAGGGGTTTGCGGTTGTGGGTTTAGGGGTTTAGGGGATTAGGGGATTAGGGTTCAGGGGTTTAGGGGGTTTAGGGTTTAGCCCTTGTGGGTTTAGGGGTTCAGCGGTTTAGGGGGTTTAGGGTTGACAATCCAGTCTGGAAGTTAGGACTCAAGGCCTCCTGCTGAAACACGTTTCCCTAAACCCTAAACCCTAAACCTGTTTCATACATAAATATGCCGTAGGCAAGAGGCCAAATGCCCAAAACGGCACGTAAAGGCCCCAAACTCGTGTACGTTTTGTATAAACGCCCAACATCCTAACATGATCTAGGGTGCGACGAGAAACTCATGGCATACCCTTAAAGTCCTTTTATGCATATACTAAATTAGACCAAGGTCTCAGTATTACAGCAAAAGCCTACGACCCAATACCCGAAGGTTTAGGGTTTTGTGGTTTAGGGTTGAGGGCCTACCCTAAGGGTCCTAACACTTTC